TAAAATATTGGAGCGCCACAGCTCCCGGGACACCAACTGTCCCCACCAGGAACCAGGATCTAGCAGCGCGGTCCAAAAGAAGGGGCTGCCTCTGGCCCTCTGGCTGCCTGGCTGCCTGGCCGGGGCCGCAGAAGCGCCCTGCTCGCAGCGCGGCGGCAGCGCGCCCCCCCGGGCGGGCGCTCTAAAGAGGTACCGTTGCATTCTGGCGTTTGAAATTCCGCCCCGCCTCGCGCCAAAATGAAGGCAACATTGTGCAGCCTTATTGAATGGCGCAACAATTGGCGAAATCCTCCTCTCTCCGCCTTTGAATAGAATAAGACGTTCGGGAGCCTCCCCCCTCCCTTTTTCACCCCGGGGCGCAGCGGGGGCGCCACTGAATGGCTTCGTTACCAATCATCAGAACCTCATCGCCAAAATGAGCAAAATGCAAAACGGGATAACGAAAGGACCGCGAGTTCACTCCCCCACCGCTCCGCAAAATTTGGCCAGTTTTTCTGTCCGTGCGCGTCCGTGTGTGAACGCGTTTGTCTTTCGAATCGCGGCGCGCAACCCTCGTGTGGGTCGGCAATAAGGCGGCGCCCAGTGCTGCCAACTTAAAGACAATCCGTCACACTGCAGGTCGTTATTCCGATTCGCGGCGGGCCGTTGTTCGGCGCGCCGAGGTTGGCAGCACCTGCCAAAGGCGCCAAAGGACCCCGCCCCGCCCAGGCCAGCCAACGGCGGGGAGTCACAACGGCTCCGTTTCGGCATAAAGCGCCTAATTGCTGGTCGGTGATGTGTGTGCCGCCGGGGGGTTGGCACTGCTGGCCCCCCTGTTCGCCCCGCCCCGCCCCGCCGCATGGCGCTCAAAGTGCTGTTCGGTGTTTGAATCTGGCAATCTGGCGGCGAGGCGCGACGCGCTACTGTCTGCTGATGATCGGCCGGCCCGTCCTGCCCCCCAGTGTACCCAATTCCTCTGACACTCGCGCGGAGCTTGCGGTGTACCGGAACATTTGCAACAAACACCTGTGACAAAAAACAAAAGACTTGAAATTGAAAATGAAAATTTGAACAGTGCAGTTCCGCGCCGGGTCGCCCAGTAATCACTCTAATGCCCTTTATTGTGCGGCTGCAGTTGATTAGCAGTGGAGGGGAGAGGAAAAAGGGGGGGGGGGTCGGGGACTTGGCACGGCGAGTGAAAGCATGGCAGCTGAGTATCCTGCCGCCGCACCGCCTTGCCGCCGCCGCCTAGAGATGATGACAATGTTTACCTTATAGAGGATTTGCGGCAAATATTTGCACAGCATTACGGTCCCGCGAGGTCCCCTGCCGGGTGCCGCCCGGACGGAGGCTAGGCTCCACTCGTCGGACTTGTCGTTGAATCGCCAGCAGAGCGTTAATGTGATTACAACTTACCGTCATATTTCAATTATTGTCCAATGGCAAACTTGTGCTGCTAGCTGCTCACTTTGCGCCACGCCACTTTCTCGGCTCGGCTCGGCTCGGCTCGGCTCGGCTCGGCTCGGCTCGGCTCGGCTCGGCTCGGCTCGGCTCGGCTCGGCTCGGCTCGGCTCGGCTCGGCTCGGCTCGGCTCGGCTCGGCTCGGCTCGGCCCGGTTCGGCAAGACACAGTGCCCCTCAACTTTCAATTATAAAGAGCAATCTCAGTTCCGAATGGCGACGCTGCACTTTTGCTCTCGATTGGACGCAGTGGCGCGTCCGTCGTCGTAAGACTTCGCTCAGCGCAGTGAGAGTATAAGTCCGCACACACAAAAAAAAGAAAGAAAACATTTTAATTTATTTAAATCGGCAGTGTGCGACAGCGCGGACTGTACTTCCGGCACTGTCGGCTCCTTCGGCCACGGTCCATTAGAGCCGCCAAAAAGCGACCGGCACACATCCCGGGCACATCCGGCGTTTGTTGTTTTTCTTCTTCTATCTTTAAGTTGGCGCGCTCCAATAACGCGCGCGACTTTGAGCGCCATCGACACAGTCCGCATCAATACAGACAACCAGACAGAAACATAAATTAAACGAAAAAAAAAATTGAAAAAAAAAAAACGTTTAATTTGTTTTTGAAAACACACCAAAAATTGTTTGTTTACACAGTTGGCAGCTCTTATCAGGACGAAGGAACCGGAAATTCTCCTCCGCCGGGAAAGATTTTTCTCCGTCGGCGCCATGACAGTGCAGTGGCGGCGGCGCGACCTTTGAAGCGGCGTAACCGCGGGCCTTAATGCGGCAGTTGGGGCGAGAGAGAGATTGAACTGGCAGTGGCGGAGCGCTGGCTGGCACCGCGGTGCGGCGTGCTGCCTTTGACGATTCGCCCGGACTGGCTCCACCCGGATCGGATTCACCGCGAGGACCGCGATGAGGCTCCCGAAAGAGTGTTGGTCAGCCTGCCTGCCGGCCAATATCTCGATAGCGGAGTCGAGATATTATTGCCCAGTAGGCAGACTGAGGTTGGCAAAACTTTCGACACTAGTGCATGGTGGGTCCTTTTTGACGTGCGTGTGTGTGTTTGTGTGTGTGTGTGTGTGTGTGTGCAGCGTACGCCCCCGGGCTGGAGTCCAGAGGCAGGAGAGGCCCCCTTCCGGAGAGGTGCGTTTGCCCTGTCTGTCCCTCCGAGCATGATGCTCCGAGGGACTCCCAGGCAGCCAGCCAGCCGGGCAGACGGTGCTGGCAGCCAGCGGGTCGGACCGAGAGGCAGCGCAAATAAAGACTGCCATGATCGTCTATTTGTCAAACGGCTCCCGGCGACGGGCTGCGTCTGTCTGCAGCGCTCGGAGCAGCGCTGCAGATATGGGCGTCGGTAGACCGCCCAGGCCGCCAGGATGCCAGTCACGGTTGGAACAGTGTGGCGAAACCTCATGCGCGTTGCGGATACGCTGCTGCAATGGACTGTTTCAAACTCATCATTTTTGGCGGGAAAATGCGAAATTATTATGCCGCGCGATTGTTGTGCCGCTCTGCACCGATCGGCGCGATTCGGCCAGATGACGGCCGTGTTTGCGCCGCGGATTTTAAAGCATCAGAATGTGGGGCACGTCCGCCGTGTTTTGCATTCATATCGTGGAAGGCGGTGACGTGCCTTTGCCTACATTAACGTCATCATGACGTCATATCGTGACGTCATCGCGCAGGCCGCGCAGGGGTAGGCGCCACTCGGAGGAACCACCTGACAATAATATTCTAATGACGCGCGTGTGTGACGTCCCTATTCACTCACCTCCCTGTCTGTCTGTCTGTCTGTCTGTCTGTCGTCCGTCTCCCTGTCTGTCGTTGGGGCGCGTTTGTTGTGATTTCAGGCAAACAGGGCCTTTACCTTTCATTCCCCGAGCCAAATGCCCCCATCAGGGGCCGTTGCTGCTGCATCTTCTCCTTGTCTCTTGTCTCTGTCCCCAATCCACCCCCCCCCCTCTCGTCGACGGTCCTCAGGAAGCCCCCCTCCCCCTCCCCCGAATCTCCCTCGAGGCCCCGCCAAGCCTCCGCCGCGCCTCCACTCCTTTCGCGTGGAGTTTAATGGGGCGCGCTGGCTTGTAATGGTGCCTCGTCCAGAGTGGAAGATTGCGGCAGCCAGTGTGCGTGTGGTGTGTGTGGTGTGTGTTTGCGTGTGTGTGTGCGCGCGTGGTTTTGAACAAACCGAAAGAAAAGGCGGGAAAGATGACGGGGGCGGCTTGTCCTGTTTTACAGTGCGGGTGGCGGCGCGTCGTCTGCTGTTGCTGGACGACGAAACCGCGCCACCGGGTTGACACCCCTCCGCGTGGTGGTGGGGGTGGGGGGTCACGGGGGTGTTTGTCTCCGGACGTTTACAGTGGGGTAGCAAATCTTATGAATAATGGAAAGCGGCAACGCGTCGATTCAGTTTTATAACCTTGCTGCTTCGGTGTGTGTGTGTTTTCGACCTGCTTTCCCGAGACTTCACCTCAACTTCGTGAAAAAAAAATATTTTTTTTTTGAGCCTCCGACTTGTGGGCCTGATGCACACGGCTGCGCTCTGATGGCCTCAAACCGCCCCCCGTAGGATAGTCAGTCGAAAAAAAATAATTGAAATGCTGGTATTCGAACACCGGCCTGTGCTAATGCCATTCTACGCCCCTAACCTGGTACAGCTAAAACGAACATTTTTCCCGCATTAAGTCGCATTAAGTGCGTTAGCTGAGCGGTTAGAGACGAAGAATTACACTTGCTCAGTCCGGCGTTCGACTACCCTCACCTCCTCCCTTTTTTTTCCGGCTGGCTACCCTTTGGTGGGGGTTCGAGGAAGTTCGAGGCCATCAAAGCGGAGCCGCGTGCATCGCGTTGTCCTCGAACGCAGTGTCTCTGTCCACCCGGCGGCAGGGCCGGGCTCGCTGCAACGGATTTAATCATAACGAGGCGCCGTTGTTAAATGCTTGTTCTGCCCACACGTGCACCTCGCGGGGGGTGGCGGGGGGTGGGGCGGCGCGGGGCGCGTTTGACGGGGCCGTCGCTAGCTTGTGCTAGCTTGCGCTGGCTGGTGGGGGTTGGGCCGCGCCGCACCGCGCCGCCACGCTGTGCCGTGCCGGGCCCTGGGGCCGCGCTGGGGCCGCGCTGGGGCCGCGGCGCTAGCGCCAGCCTCGCCAGCCCCGCCAGTCGGCTCTGGTGCTTCCCCGCGCGCACTCAGGCGGTCCGCTCTGCGCGTGGAATGCCAAGTGGCCAGCGTGCCGCACATCGTGGCGCACATCGTGGCGCACATCGTGCCGCACTTCGTGGCGCGCACCGCCCGCCGGCGTAACCAGTGACGACAACGAACATGCCGCGTCGGCAGTAGTGTCAGTGTGTCAGTGCGTCAGTGCGTGTCAGTGAGTGTGTGAGTGAAGACGACATGCAGCACCCGCAGATGTCGTGGCTGCTGCCGTGGGGGGTGCCCGTGCACGGCGTGCAAGGCGTGCACTCGGTGCAGATGCACCCCCACCCCGCCCTGCAGGGCCTCCACCACCCGCACCACCTGGGCCCCGTGGGCCCCATGGGCCCCGTGGGCTCCGTGGGCCCCGTGCCCGTCCACGGCATGGCCGCCGGCGTCCTGGGGATGGCGCCCGCGCCCCTGGCCGCGCTGCGCTCCTTTGTGGCCACGCAGCAGCAGCAACAGCAGCAACAGCAGCACCAGCAGCAGCAGCAGCAACAACAGCAGCAGCAGGCGTCGGCGTCGGCCGGCAGAGGCGTGCCTCGCATGAAGGTGCGTGAGTGCGTGAATCCGCCCGGTGTCGACGCGGACATGGGGCGGCACGTCGGGGCGGCTCGACGGGGCCGCTGTCGCGCTGTCAGCCCGCCCCGCCGGACAAGCTGGACGATGACGGAGTGGACGGAGTGCTGGCCGGGGCGGCATGCCCTGCAGGGCAGCGGCTAGTGTTTTAGCGACACGGCAGCAACCCACTGCGCGGTGTGCACACTGTACAGTAAAGTGGCCACCCCTCCGCCGGGGCCGAAAAGCCAAGCCCGTCGGGCCCCGCCGTGGCGCGCCACTGGTCCCGCTGGGGCTGACCGCCGTGCCGCCGCGCCGCCGCGCCCCTTGGACTCCAACACTTTGGCCTCCTCGGCGAGGTCTGGCGTGCCGGGCGTGCCGCTCACTCCGCTCACTCCGGCGCTCAGCTGATCTGGCATCGACCGAGCGGCCCGGAAAGCCGAACGCCGCGAAGGGCGGAAGCCGAAGCGAAAGCCCTCGCCGTCGGGGAATCATTTTCCCCTTTCATTGGCAGATCCTCCTCCGCGGCACATCTCTGTCTGTCTGTGTTTGGCCCCTTTTTGTCGTTTTGTCGGTTTGTCCCGCGCGTCTCGCCGTGTCCGTCAGTCAGCCGCCCCCGGCACGGCCCGGCGCAGCCCGCGGGGTGGACGAGCAGGGGGAGGACCGCAGCGGCGATAAAGCCAGCTCGAAAAAGTTTGGCAAGGCGCCGCCAAGGCTCCGCCGTGTCTACGCCCTCTCTCGCCGCGCCGTGCCGCGCCCTGCCGCCAAGGAATCCAATTGTATCCCCCTTTCTGCCCCGCCGTGCCGCCACGCCGCCATTCCTCAATGTATACCAGGCCCGCTGTGATGTGTCGCCTCGCGAGATCGGACCAATAAGTCTCGACGTCCACGACGCCGTCCTCGGTGCCCGCCCCGCCGTCCACGACGCTGTCCTCGGTGGCCGCCCCGCCGTCGACGCCGTCCTCACCGGAACACTCCGGCGCGCGCGAGGGGAAGGCCCTGGTTTATGTGCGGCCCCGGGGCGCGGAGGCCGCGAGCCGGCTGCCCATTGTGTGTTTCTCACATTAAAAATGGCTCAATTCATCCGTCAAACGTGATGAACGGGGGCGGGCCGAGGAGGCGCGCGGGTGGAGGGAGGGGGTTGAAGACGATAGGGGCAGTAAATTAAAACACGGGTTGCGCACCCGGAATAATAGCCCGGGGCGTTCGCCGCGCTCGCTCGCCGCGTTGCCGAGTCCGCGCGGGGCGGCCGGGGCAGCCAAGCAGCCAGGCGGCATTCATTGTCCGAGAAGGAAAATGATTTTTCCGCGCCGTCGCCTTCCTCCTTCCTCCTCGTCGCCTTGTTCCGGTCGCGGGGAAATGACTTCCTCCTGGTCTGTCGGTCTGTCTGTCTGACTGTCCGTCCGCCGGTCATTCGATTTAGTAATTAGCCGCCGTGAAATTGACGTGAGTCTAAAAGGGGCCGCCGTGTCCGCGGCGCGACAGCTTTTTGGGGATGATTGCCTCCTTTTTTCCACCTCCCGCCCGCGTCGTTGCGTCGTCTCTCTCGCTCCCCCGGGGGCAGACAGAGCGAGACAGAGCGACGCTCAACCCCGCTGACGCCCCGCCGGCATGCCTACACGGCCACGCTCTCGTCGGGGTGCTCGCGGGGCTCGGACTCGGGGACTCGCAGAAGCCGAGGCGAGCGCCTTGGAGCAGCAGACCGTCACCGTTAACGATCACCCCCTGCTGTGCCTCCCCTTTTTAGTTTTTTTCTGTTTTGTTTTTTTTCGTCCTGCCCTACCCCTTGCAGCCTCACCCCGTCCGTCCATGCAACCTGGAGGCCTGGAGGGATTGGATTTCGTCTCCGTATTGATATCCTAGACGGCGAGGGGCCTATCTCCCCCCTCCCCTTCCCCCTGCCGCCCCTGCAACGCGACGAGCAGATTGAGCCGCTTGATTGTAAACCGGAGAATGGCAGCAGAAGGGACCAGCCGTGTCCTTCCTTTTTTCGCCCAAATAATCGCTTCATTTCGCATTCGCGTCGCGGGGCCCGGGTTCGAATACCGGCGCAGTCCGCTTTTTTTTTCGTTCCACGTCACGCTGCTTGGGGTGGCCGCCCTGGCGTGCTAGCACGGCAAGCCGCCCGGCCGCGCTAAGCGAAATTCATTGACTGGGAGGGAAGGGGTGGGGGTGGTTGCCGGTGCTGCCGGTGCACTGCCTTCGCCTTCGTTCACGTAATTAGGCCAGGCGGTGCTATCGAAGGCGACGCGTCGACGCCCGCATCGCCGGGGAGACGAAGCAGGGCGTCGCAGCGAGCGGCAGCGCGGCAGCACACCGCCAGAGATCTACCGGATCCACCTGTTCTCGCGAGCCGCGCCGTGCCGCGCCGTGCCGCGCCGTGCCGCGCCGTCGGCGTGCGCGCGGGGCGCGAGACGCGCGTGACCGCCCAGTCCAGTTCTGCTGTCGCGGGGCGGGGAGAGCGCGCGGAAAACGCCTCTATTTCCACCCGTTCTTCTCTCTTCTGTCTGTCTGTCTGTCTGTCTGTCTGTCTGTCTGTCTGTCTGTCTGTCTGTCTGTCCGTCCGTCCGTCCGCCCTTCCGTGTCTGCTTGCACGTCTCTCTGTCGGTGTGTCTGTCTCCGACAAGACGGCGTCGCTTTGCACGCGCTCCTCGCGGAAGCGAAGTGCTCACCGCGAGGCCCCCCCCCCCCCTTTTCCCCACACGATTGCACTTGCCATCCATCTCCCTGCCGACGACGACGATGTGCCGCGCGCCGCGCGCGCGAATTTTCGTTTTCGCCCTTTTATTTTCTGTAATATTTCGCCGCCGCCGCCTCCGAAAAGCGCGCGCGGGTTGCCTTCCCCTTGGCCCTGCGCTCGAGTCTCTGTGTGTGTGTGCGTGTGCGTGCGGACGGATGGCCAGCTGGCGTCCGCGTCCGTAATGCCGCTGCCCGCTCCTCGGCAGCCTCATCATCGCCAACGGCAACGCCCTGCCATTCCGCCATCCTTCACCGCCGTGTTGAGTCTTATTCCCTGTTTTTCACCCCCTCCTTTTGCCCCCCCCCTTTCCCCCGCTTTTCCCCGCATTTCCCCCGCGCGCGCTTTCCCGGAAATCAAGGCCGGCCTGCAGATAGGAGCACCGCGTGGGAAAAGAAATTACATTTGGATTTAGTATTTGTTTCGTCTTCTCTCTCTCTCTCTCTCTCTCTCTCTCTCTCTCTCTCTCTCTCTCTCCTCTCTCTCCTCTCGCCCTCTCGTTTCTCCATTTTCGATCCCTTTCCTGCTGGCGCGTAATTTGGAACGCGTGCCGTATCGGCCCGTCCTGCGGACTTACTGTCGCTCTGTCTCTCTCGCACCCGACCGGGACGCCCTGCAGTGCGAGAGAGACAGACGCCTCTCGGAGTCCGCCAAGGCGGCCCGGCACGACAACGCGGTGCATGATGGCCGTGGCGGCAAAGTTTGAAATCCTATAAAGTTTCCAGCGAATCCACGGCCCGTGTGTGTGTGTGTGTGGTTTTTTGCCCCGTGCGTGAGGCGGTGCGGCGCGCGTGCCAACTCCAACAGTTGGCTCCCATTTCCCGGTGAAGATGAACAAAACTTCGCGCTCGAGCCCCGGGAACTCCAAATTGTGTTTCGTTCTCCTTTTTTTTAACCCTGCCGGGCAGGGATGATAATGAGACAGGAAAAAGGGCACAGGAAAAAGCGTGTCTGTGGCTGAAAATGCGAAATTTTAATTGTTTCATTATTTCGTGCTTTTCGAAAACGGGTGGGGTCCGTATTTATGAATATATATTTTTGCGAGGCCTCCTGAAGAGCGGCCCCCGCTCCTCGCAGGCTCCATCAGTTTGTTTTAGGGCCGGGGCGGTGCGGGGCGGTCCCCACCGGGCGACATCGTGGGCCATCTCGCCGCCTGTCCCAAAGAGGGACTTGCCAAAAAAGGAAAAGAAATGAAAGAAAATGCGAAAAGCATATCGCTGTTGGCCTCTTTTCCGCGTCGATGTACGCAGAAACCGCGCGAGATTCCACTTTTTTCCAAGTTTTTTTTTTCGGAGTTTCCGCGTGTACTAGTTTTGACGTCGAGTGTGGAGCGTCACTGTAGGTGACAATGTGCCTGTCGTGGTCCTGCAGGCTGATTCCAAACGGTCCTTCATCGCGCTGTCTCTCTCCCACCGCGACGGGCCTTCCCTCGAGTGCGAGAGAGACAGAGCGACCGCTGGGAGGAGCCGCGGGTCGCCCTTTGATGCAGTGTCCGTCCGGACACGCCGCGGACACTTCCCGGACACGGCGACGTGACGGCGCGGCCAGTCGCGGTGCTGGCGGCAACATTCGACCGCGGCCGCGGGGACAGGCACTCTCAGTTCCAAGCGGTTGCATGAAAAAGTCGGCAGTCGACGCCACTGACATTTGCAGTGAACTGGACTCTCTGAACTCTCGGCGTGGCCCGATTATGAAAAACTTCATTTAAAAAAAATTGAAAGAAAAAAAGGAGGTTGCCGGGAATCGAACCCGCGCATTCCGGCGGCTCTCGCTCGACTCTCAATACCGTGCGGCCGCGGCGAGAGTCGCGGAGAGTCGCGAAGCGACGCGTGCCGCATCACCGCAAAAAAAAAGAAAAGCTGAAAAAAATCCCTCTCGTTTTACGTCGCTCCGGTCGTCGCGCAGCAGGGATTGGCTGAAGCACGTGTAGGGGGCGGGAAAAAAATGAAAAAAAAAAGTGTCAAAAAAGGAAGATGAAGTGGTCTAGTCGTTTGTGTCGCGGCGTCCTGGTGAAAAGGGCACACCCCTTCGTGCGACCCCTTCCAGCCTCACAGCAGCCTTCCAGCTCAACTCAACTTCCGGAAGTCACCCACGTTCCGGGTCGGAAGTTTATGTCGCCCCTCTCTCTCTCTTTCCCTCCCTCCCTCTCTCCCTCTTGCGCGCGCCGCAGAGAGGGTTCCAGGCCTCCAGACGCCTTAATTCGGATGCTGCCAACGCTCCGAATTACCGATGTGTGTGTGTGTGTGTGAGTGTGTGT